AGCGCGCATGGTTTTGCTCTTGGGCTTCACCCCAAAAGGCCTCATACCAATTGGAGGTGACACACTTACATATAAGCACTTCACATTTCCTCTACCCAGGCGATGTGGGACTGTGCACCCGTAGCTCGCCATTGTGGTAGCCTGACAGTGTCTCTCGCACCCTGTGGGTGGGTGCGAGAGACACTGTCAGGCTACCACACTGGCGAGCTACGGGTGCACAGTCCCACATCGCCTGGGTAGAGGAAAGGTGAAGTGCTTATATGTAAGTGTGTCACCTCCAATTGGTATGAGGCCTTTTGGGGTGAAGCCCAAGAGCAAAACTGTGCGGGCTCGGGCCCAAAATGGACAATATCATACCATGTTGTGGAGTGGATCGTTATAAATGGTATCAGAGCCTGACCCAGTCGGAAGTGTGCTGACGGGGACGTCGGGTCTCCAAGTGGGGTGGATTGTGATAACCTTGTAGGCGGGTGTGTCGTGGGCGGGTGCGAGAGACACTGTCAGGCTACCACACTGGCGAGCTACGAGTGTACAGTCCCACATCGCCTAGGTAGAGGAAAGGTGAAGTGCTTATATGTAAGTGTGTCATCTCCAATTGGTATGAGGCCTTTTGGGGTGAAGCCCAAGAGCAAAACCGTGCGGGCTCAGGCCCAAAGCGGACAATATCATACCATGTGGTGGAGTGGGTTGTTACAGGTGGGGTGGGGTAGGGTGGGGCTGGGCGGGTACTCGTCCTCGTGGGCAAATTACCATCCCCATTTATGTGCACTTAATACCCTTACATAATGCAAATAGAGCTAACAAACACCCTTTGGGCATTTTTGGAAGAGTAGAAAGGGTAAAATGAGTATATTATATTTACTTTGTGCCAAATTTTGCAAAAAAGTGATTTTAGGGGAGTTTTCACACAATTGTTAGACCATAAGGGTGTTTAGGGTGAAAGCGGTTGTCGGAGTATCTAAGAGGGGCATTTTCTACACTTAACCATATATTCAATGAACAATTGCTATATATGAGTTATGAGTTCTTAATTTAGTACATTTTTTTTCCTAGCAAAAGTCAAAAAATTTATTAAAAAACTTGAAATGATAATAGTCCTTATGAGCCTCCAGCATAACATTCGAAGGGAGGTTCATAACATCATAGAATTATTATTATTATTATTATCATTATTATATATATATATATATATATATATATATATATATATATATTTATTATTATTATTATTTTTATCTCATATGAGTAGCCAACAAATGGGCTGCAAAATTAACCTCCTTAGGTGTTGGGATTATGTTCCCTAAAAGTCAATTATTTATTTTATTTGATATTTAATTAATAAATTTGGTTTATTATTTTTAAATTAGATATGCATGCATTGGGTTTTTCATATATTTGCATGAGATGTATCATGGTACTAAAGTTTCATTATAGCTTACTTAAGCGTGTGAATGAGATTTACACATAGGAGATCTAAGCTTACCGATTTCTTACACCCTGGTATTGTTCGTAGTCGGTGATAAAAGTTGGGCACTTTTATGTGTAAGATTGTAACACACTTGACCTCTACGATAGAAGATGATTTGACTTGACCAATGAGGTATTTGACTCTAAGTGTTAGTCTGCTTAGAGTATATTGGACCGAATCACCATAAGATCACACCATAAAAATTACTATCATGATTTTGGTGTGATTCTTTTCTATTAAATTTATGGTTCTTATCTACTAAATTCATTATGCTTTAAATCCTGATAGGTTTAGTGGAATCAAGTTTTAGTGTTGGTCGTTTTGACTTAACAACGTGTAAGATCTTCTAAAGGTTACCACGGTATCTTGGGTGGCTAATGCTGGAGTTGCAGAACACAAATGCTCAACTCTAATCTACACTCTTTATAAGAATAAAATAATATCTCCCTGATACAATTTAATAATTTTGATGATTGAAACTTGGTCACGGCACCTTAGTAAAATGTTTAATATATTAATTTATATTTATTTGATTATACAATATTTATTTTAAAAATTCTTTTATAAAGAATTTAATTCAGTGATCATATGGTTTAAATTGGTTACTCAAGTAATATAAGATATAAGTAAGTAAGCTTTCATTGGGATGGACTATAATTTTCTTGGGGTTATTTTTGATTATTCGGTAGTGGAGGGGCTTATATGTAATTATTATTAGGATAGAGCCTGCTTGTAATTTCTAAATCTTAGAACGCAATTACAATAATATTGTGATATTTATTGTGATAAATTCGATAGGATATCCCTCTCCAATTGGAGCTAGGTTGAAGAAGCCCTTTTGAATTCTCGTATCTAGCCCGAGATATTAATCGGCTCTCAGACCATTCATTATGTTACACAAAAATATACATACAATATATAGTATTGAAAGACGCAGTCATGAGCATTATAATAGAACTAGTGATATCTTCACTTTTTCATTTGTGAAAAATAAAAGTATTTATCAATACTAGTCAAATTACACGTTCTATGCAAGTCCTTAAATATAGTGCAATATAAAAATTGAAATTTAATCACATGTATTTTGTCAAATTATTATAGTTATATATATATATATATAAACCTACAGGTGTGTGCGAGACAAGAGCAATGTACCATTTAGGTACACAAAGGAAAAAGATGAGTAACTTACAAAATTCACTTACTTTTCTCAATTAACAAGTAACAAAAACCTAATTGAAATTTAATAGTAAAAAATAAATCAAACTTTAATTTAATACTGAAGCGGGTACACTAACTAACATTTTGTTCATTCATAGGTAACAATACATGGAATGACTAACTTACACATGTATGGTGATTAATTTTTTAAAAAATCGGCAATATCACTCAAATTTGGTTTGGTTTATTGAGCAGTCTAACTCTCTTCTGAAATGCCATTTTGCGGCTATGGGGTATTTGGCAGGAGAGAACTAGTAGACTTCATAGCCAAACAGGTTTTCTTTGAAGTGCTTGATGTTTCTAATGCTACCATTCAAGATCTTTTACACTAGTTTGTTAGACTTCCTGTTCAGTTTGTACTGGAAATGGGTTTACTCCTCATAGGTTTACTTTGTAAGGGCTTTGGCCTATATTCTATTATGAGAGTATGTTTTCTGTGCATCTGTACTTAATTTTTTCAATCTATACATTACAACACTAATTATGAAAAAAAAAAAAAAAATTAGGTTATGTTATATAATTGGACCACACTTCCCAATATTTTATCATTTTTCATATTTGTCATATTTCCAATACATTATAATGTCGTCAAAAGTGATAAACATAATAAGATAAGTACGAATATATTACATAACATCATATTAAAAGACGTTATCACGAGCGTTTAAATAAATGTAGTGATAATTTTACTTTTTAATTTTTTTTCAAAATAAAGTATTTATCAAAATTAGTCAAATAGCACGTATTATGCACGCCATTAAATATAATATAATACACATATATTACTAAATTGAAATTTAATCACGCGAATTTCATCAAAATATTATATATATATATATATATATATATACTGGTATGTGTGAGACAAGATCAATACAACATTCAGGTACACAAAGGAAAAAGATAAGCAACATACTGAATTCACTTGTTTGGCGCAATCAACAAGTAAAAAAAATCTGGTAGAAATGATGACATTAAAAAATTATTCAAAGATGAAAAAAAGAAAAAAAAAAACATTAATTGCTTATTCAATTTAAGGAGGGTTTTAAGCTTGAAATTATGTCATTGCATATTCACAGTGGTCTTAAGCGGAAACACCGAGACACTAATACTTTGTTCCTCAATAAGTAACAATACGTGAAATGACTTGCACATGTATATGCTAACTAAGTTACTCAAAAAAATTTGGCAATATCATAAATTTCATCAAAATATTATATTTATATAAAAAAATCTACTAGTATGTTTGAAACAAAAGCAATGCACCATTTAAATATACAAAGGAAAAAGTTGAGAAACTTATTGAATTCACTGGCTTTGCTCAGTCAACAAATAACAAAAATCTGATTAAAATTCTAATAGTTAAATATCAATCTAAGATGGAACAAGAAGAAAAAAATCAATTGCTTCTTTAATTTAAGGAGTGGTGTTAAGTCATGAATTATGTCAAATATGTATAATCAAAGTGGTCTTAAATAGAAACACTTAGATATTAACACTTTGTTCATTGAGAAGTAACAATACGAGAAACAATTAACTTACACTTGCATGGTGATTAAGTTACGAGGAAAAAAAATCGGCAATATCACTCTTATTTGGTTTGTATTATTCAACTAGACCACACTTTTCAATGTTTTACAATTTTATCACATTTGTCGTACTTTCAATTTATTTAATGTTGAAAAAAATATATTTCAAAATCATCATATTGAAAGACGTTGTTACGAGTGTTAAAATAGTAGTGATATCTTAGAATTTTATTTATTTATTTATTTTTTTTGTGAAAAATAAATTAACCAATTTGGCTTTAAGGGGTAAGTTCATAGGTATAACCTTTGTAACTTCATGGCATACACATGGATTGTTGGTTCCTATTTGGAAGGTTGTAATTTCTTAACTGTTGTAGTTTTTCTTTCCTGCTTGTAGTTTAGCACATTTTTTTTTTTGTTACTATAGAGTCTTGACACTCGGGGAGATTTTACAGTAAATTAGGGAGTCTATGGACTTTTGTCGCTTTCTATGGCACTTTCGAACTAATAGGTTTTTGTTATGTCAATCTGAACTTACTTGGTTTGTTCAGTTGCCAGGGGCGGAGCCAAGATTCAATGTAAGGGCGGCAGGAGTATTAACAGTTTTACTAATATAATATAATAATATTTTAAGTTAAAAGTACTTCATGATCGATTAAATGCATACAAAAATATATTTAGCCAAAATTTGGCCAATTTGTTTACAAAACAATAATTGGCCTATATCTAGTCAAATATGAAATAGATAAATACAAAAAGAAACCTAAAAGACCAAACAACTACTACAAAAGCTGAGCTCGACGATCTTTTAGAGAAGAAAAATCATCTATAATTGAATCTGTACTAAAAGTCTCAGCAATTTCTTTTTCAATACTGACACTCAAGTAATTTGCAAGAAACTCATTCTCCATCCTGTTGCGCAGTTGTGTTTTGACAAGTTTCATAGTTGAAAATGCCCTTTCTGTAGTTGTAGTGGAAACGGGAAGAGTTAAGACAAGACGAATCAACCTATCAATCAAAAAGTAGATTTTTGACTTCTTTATTTCCACTAATCCTCTACATAGCTCAGAAATCGTTGACATAATTTTCAAATATGAATGAACAGGCATTTCAACCTCATAATGTTGCAATTGGAATGTCAATATAATCTTCTCTTGGTCCGTGAAATCTTGAGGATAAAATTCATCTACAAGTGTGCAAATGTCTTCAACGTTAAAGAGCTTGTAACCATCTCTAGGATCCAAAGCTGAGCTGAGAGTAACAAGTTTCATTGCCTTTTCAATAAATCTGTTATTCAACTCCGGCAATTGTGAATCAATTGTGCCATAAAATATATCAATCCGATAGTGGTGCTCAAGTGTAATATTCTCTTGTGGGTGACGTGACTGACCCTTAATTTTTTTAGTATAAGGAACACTCAAATCAGGCACATTAATGTTGTGGCACTCACAAAATGATTTAATAATATCAAGTAACTTGTTCCAACCATTTTCTTTCAATTTCAGAATGATTTGTTTTGTACTTGAAACCAATTGCATAGCAGTTACGATGTCTTGATCTTTTTGTTGCAAAGCTCGACAAAGGATATTAGCTACTCCCATAATATCTTTTATCAAATGCAAAATAAACACAAACTGAAATGATCTAAGAGTATTAAAAACAGTATCAGCATCTCCCCAGATCTTGTAATTACCTCAATCTTCAATGAGGTTGTTAAGAACTGAACATGTTGGACCAAATAACCTTATCAAACTACAAACAGAATCAAAATGGGAGCTCCAACGAGTACCTCCAGGTCGTTGCAAGTTACCAATCTGATTAGCTCTTTGGCCAGTTTCAAGTTCATCAAGATCTATCAAATGGGCAATTTCCATAACTTGAGCATAATGTAATTCATCAGTTCGTTTGCAAGAAGCTCCAATGTTATTGATAATGAAGTTTAAGTTTGAAAAGAATTGATGGACAACATTACTTCTCTAGATGTGGCAACTAATGCTAGTTGTAGTTGGTGAGCTAAGCAATGCACATAATATGCATAAGGACAATCATTAAGAAATAATGCTTGCAAACCATTCCATTCACTACGCATATTGCTAGCACCATCATAACCTTGACCTCGGAGATTGTGAACATCAAGATTATAGTGAGAAAGAACAGCACAAAGATCCTTTTTTAAATTCAATGAAGTTGTATCTTTGACATGCACAAGATCAAAGAAACGTTCTTGTAAAAAACCATCCTTCTCAACATATCTTAAAACGAGAGCCATTTGCTCTCTTTTAGATTCATCACGAGCTTCATTAACAAGAATGCAAAACTTGGCATCGCCGATATCTTCACGAATCTTACTTCTCACTTTTCTAGAAAGAATATGCAAAATCTCCTTTTGAATTTGTGGCGAGGTATACTTGGCATTTTTTGGAGCATTTTCAAGAACAGTTCTAGTGACATCATCATTATATGACGCAAAAGCCTTTACCATTTCAATGAAATTGCCTCGATTACTTGATTGAAGGGATTCATCATGCCCTCTGAAAGCACAAGCTTGATAAGTAAGCTATCGGACCGTATCAATTGTGACCTTCAATCTCAATCGATTATTTGAAACTTGTTCGGAAGTTTATCTAACCATCACTGTATCAATATGACAAGGTTGATTCATTAAGTCCTTACATGCTCTCTCAGCAATGCTATAAGCAGAACATGGACTTCCTCCCACATGATTTAAGAAAGCACACCTATTGCCATCATTAACTTTCTTCCAACTTCGAAATCTTTCACTAGTAAATGCATTGGTTCCGCGACGCCCCATTGGTTTTGCTCCAAAAAGAAAGCAAGGTAAGCAATATGCAGCATCCTTTGAAGGAAAATACTCTAACCAGGTAGGAAATAATTTAAACCAAGATGATTGAAATCGACGACGATGCTTTTCCGATCCAGAAAGCGGATATACTGAAAGCACAATTTGGTATGGCTTCGCTTTGATATAAGCTCGTCGAACTTCATCACGTTCGTCAACAGGATAATCCCATATTTGACGACGTAATCCTGGATCACTTTCTAAAAAGGTAGGATCAACTTTTGTATGTTCAACTCTTGAAGATTTTGGAGGATGCTGGTTATCATGAACCAAAACATCAACATTAGAGGCGGAAGCCAAGGAAGGCACATCATTTTTTTGAAAAAAAGCGTCAATAGTTCTTTTTGGCTTCACCATCGTATAACACTGTACCTAAAGAGGGTAATTCAAGTATAAATTTTTAATACCTAGGATTTTACATTGTAATTTAAACCATCGATCCTAAATTCCTAATAAGCATAATTGAGTAAATATAATTATAATAAGATGATTCTAATAGTTCTGAACCACCAGGTCAGTTGGCACATGGGCATAACTTCCTTGATAGAAGAGTGGAAAATCGAATATGTTCCAAGTATTCCTCCAATACTTAAAATTTTCTTTCTAAAAAAATTATGAAATGATATTTAAGAACAACTAAAAACAAATAACTCCTAAACTAATGATTCCACTGACATCTTCAAACATTTTATAAAATAATTTGTTAACATACTTTTATTATAAAATATTGTGAAAACGACATCGAATTCTTTTTTTCGTTTTAACTTTGTAAAATATAAAAATTAGAGTATTTCAAAGTAATGGTGGTGACTCTATGATGGCATAAATAATCAAAAATTTATACGGTGAAAGAATTATAGTAGCTTAGGAAATTTCTTATCCCTTCAAAAAGATGATTTTAAAGAAGTTAGGTCCCCCCCCCCCCCCCCCCCAAAAAAAAAAAGAGAGAAAGTTTCTGGATTTTGATGCAGTAAGATGGGCATTTCTAAGGAATAAAAGCAAAAGGCAAAGTGAAGGAATCGGGGAAAATGTAGTCTTTATACAAGTAAAATTTTCTTCTGCCAAAATTAGAGTTAAAAAATTAAAAAATACAACTAAAAGGCCGTATAGTTCATTCGTTTGGTTGGATTCCATTTTGCTGTATCTTTTGTTCCATGTGGACCATCAGACCATGTGATAATTGTGATTATCAGATTATGTGAAGTTGTGAACAGATCAAGAACATTAGCAGTGAGCACCAAACATTACAAAAAATAATTTTAAAAAGAGGGCAAAAGATAGGTGAAACCTTGAGCAGGGGCGGAGCTGGGGGTTGAGCTTTGGGCCTTCGACAGCCTCGATCCTTCGAGATCTTTGTGCAGATTGAGCAGCTTCAGTGGTTAGCGGTCGCCTGGCCTTCTCTTTCCTCTCCCTCTATTTTTTCTCCAACTTCTCTCAATCTCTCTAGGCTCGCTCTCGCAGCTCTCGCTCTTCTCAGCTCAAAAAAGAGGGCAAACTGATGGGTGCCCTAATGTTGGGGGGCCAGTATACTAAATTTTATTATTATTATTATTATTTTTTGTATATACTAATAATTTTTTTTTTTTTGGGGGGGCGGCCTACCCCCAGCTCCGCCCCTGTCAGTTGCGACCTTATAATGCAATCATATTCTCAACTCCCTACTTTTGAATCTGCATTTATGATATATCCATTAAGTTAGTCTGGTTGGTTTTTTGCACCTAGTTTTGGTGTAGTAGCTATATTTTGATTCACCCTTTTAAAGGGGGTTTTATAATTGGATGTTGAACCCATTTCACATTATGGGAGTTTGTTTAGCGCTGAATGTTATATATTTTAGCCCCTTAACTTGCATGTTTTATTCTCTTAGTAATAAAATTATTTGTGATTTTACATTATTTTAGTGTTTTTCTTTATTTCAGGGCCTTAATTATAATATCAGTCAAAACCAGTGATTTTGGGCTTGAAAAGATGATATTCAAGAGGTTAAAAGACCACATCCATTGGGCGAGTAATTATGAAGATCTAAGTCTAATTAGATCAAGAAAATAGCCTAAGAGAAGGCTTAAGTTGATGAAAATGGAAACAAGAAGAAAAGGAAGAAACATTCTCCAACTAGGAAACTTACTCCAAAATTGGAAACTTGAACCCGTTTTAGTATTTTGTCTGTATTTCCTTCTGTAAGTGTCAAAACAATGCAAGTTTCTCTAAAGTTGAAAGGAAATTCAAAGAACTACAAATTTGTATTTCACAAGAATTTTGTGAAAAATGATGTTTACCTTCTCAAAACTGGGCTGGAAGTTAGCACGAATTTTGGAGTTCAGGTTTGGCAGAGTTGCCATATATCTCCTATTTGGAAAAGGTAACTTTGAGGCTATTCTTTTCTTATTTTAAGAAAGTTGTCTACACCATTGGGAGATCATTATACACAGGAGCTAAAGGCTGACATGAGGAGAAGAAAGAAGGGATCAACCTATTACGGCGAAGATGTTCTTCCTAATCATGAAGAAGTCTATTCCAGTCACGAGCGGTTAAAAGCTTTGCTAGGGCTGTGATGTAGCCCCAGCTCAGTGCTACTGGTTTGATTGCATTTGTTTATTGGAGAACAATATTTTTCATGCATGATTGTATAACCTAGAGGATTTTTATTTGATTTTTCAATAGAAATCGTTTTCAAAGATTTAATTCAATTACAAAGTATTTTCTATCTTGTCTTAGGTATTTAATGCTTGTGATGAACACGACTCATCTACTTCTTGTAGTTGTGAATGAGATGGTTATGCAATGGTTTTTCATTGAATATAATATTAGGGTTTTAATGGATTATGCTTAGAGAAGATAGACCATACTACACCCTAGAGTAGAGTAGTTAGGTAGATGGTTTATGCTAATCGAAGATAGTCTATGCTTAGCTTTAATTTTATATTATCTTATAGCTGAATTAATATGTGCTTGTAGCCATAATTAATTTCTTATGCATGTTTCATATCTATCCAATAAATTGATGCAATTGATTGGTAGTGCGACGTTAGTGCTGAAATCATGTCCCTAGCCTTTTCTCTCGTATTTTCCTCATCTAATTTAATTATTGCCTTTAATTTAATTTTCTATTTAGTTCATTAGATTAAATCATTACTATCAAAACTTGTTTGTCCTATTTGAAGTTAATTTAGAATTTAAGAAGTCTGTTAACAACTTAATTAATACAAGTCTTTTGGGTACGACACCACACAAGAAGCTCTATTTGAAAAGATTTGTGCAGTTGCGAGTGGTTATATCTAAGCTTACAACAAGTTTTTGGCACCGTTGCCAGGGACTTGTTTTAGTTCTGAACAGACCATATTAAGTTCTACAATTAATTTCAATTGGGATCTAAGTTTAAGACTTTTTATTTTATTTTATTTTGATTCTATTTTCTTTTTGCAAGTGATAGTATATGCTTGGAAGACGATCTTTGTCACTCCATAGATTTCTGTTAGACCCAAAAATAGAAAGGGCTTTTAGATACTTGAAGAAATATTTTGAAAGCCTTGAAAAGGCTACCACAACAAAGTCCGATGTAGAAAAAAAGATCACATGTCAACAAGAAACCCATCAATAACCTATTTCTTGACATACCTAATAATAAAAAAATGAAGTGATATCTACATTTTTTTTATTTGTAAAAAATAAATATTTTTCTGAATACTAGTCATATGGAACGTGTTATACACACCATTAAATATAGTATAATGTATATTACTAAATGGAAGTTCAATCATATGAATCCAATTAAAATAATAAATATGTAAAAAAAAGATCTGTTTTCGTTAAATGGAAAACTTGTTTGTTGCATATATGTCTATGATATTATTTTTACTCCAAATATCCAATTCACCTAGGACGTGATATAAATCAGATAAACTAGGTGTAACATCCAACTCTACAAGTCTCCTTATGTGTCCTTTCATCATTCCACTTTTACTGTTACTTTCAAAGTTAATAAGATCTTTTGACACCATAATGTCACTTAGAGAGTGAGTAATAGTCACAAAAACAATATCTTCAAGCTTCAAATTCTCACCTTCTTTGGTGCCCAAATAGTCCACCATATCCATCACCTTTTTCTCTCTCCATTTACTATATACTGCTACATTCTTTAAACATTGCTTGCGATGAATGGTTTATTTGTGGGACTTTTGAAGCCACTGCTAGCAAGAACCTCCCTGAGAGGATGCGGTCATGGGTTTTGAGGATTTCTGTAGTAGCAGCCTAAAATGATCCTATAACAAGCAGTTGTCCACCAACTCGTAGTGACATGATCGAGTTGGCCATAGATGTGGGCTAGGTTGGTCATAGAGACATGCGGTTTCTTTCCAATGCGAAAGATTTTGCCTATGTGGACCTGGTGGTAGTTTTTGGTGTATGGATGAAATGTGCTTGAAAATGAGAAACAAGAGTGGCACAAGGAAAACAAGAGGGAAGATGACCATATTCACTTCAATTATTGTAGTTCTGAGATTCATGATTTTAGAGATATATAGACAGTAAGGTGATTTGTATATATGTGTGTGTGTGTGTGTGTGTACAATATGGTGGTGACTTGGATATATATTGTAAGCAATTACATTCCAAATAGGATTCAT